TTGTGCTCCGTGCGTATGGAAGCCGAACTCATCCATTGCTTAAATTTCTTCCAGCCTCATCTTTTCAACGCCGAAGTGCGATCGGTTCGTGGTTTAATATATGTTATCCCGAATTCGTCGCGTGCAGTCTGTGCGTCGGTGTGTATTGTCTGAGATTCGCCGAGCGCAGTGTATGGATCTCTGGAATGTGATTCGGGATCCGCACATTTGGATGGCAGAGCATCTTCTTTCTCCCACAGCGACCAAAGTTCGAGAAAATTTACTTTGGGAGGTGTGCTAGGCGAGCTAAGCTGGCCCGTATGCCGCACGGACCCGGGCCGTCTAGAAAACACGATCCCGTTCCCACGTGCTGCCGACTGCCAAGGGTCAAGATGATATGAGTTCCCAAAACAACCACATGATCAGGTTCCAAATGCATGCTTAAAGTATCGGCACGCGGTCTCGCACTTTTCCTGTTTTTTCTCCCTTCCTCTCATCATTCGGACGATTACTGGTAATCTATTAGTAGTATCTATTTACCACTACAACTCAGAACCAACTGCCGTGGACCATTTTAAAATGCATACAAACTTGAATCGTTCAAGAAAAAGTCTTTCGACATAATAATAATAATAAAAAAAACATCCGATTCATTCTCCCAACGAAACATTCCGCCGCAACGCTGGGTGCGGGGTCCTTGGGTGATACGATTCCTGTGGGACGCCGCTTCGATTTTCATGTTTTATTTGCAAGCGATCGTTTTTTCTCAAGAAAATGCCCCCATCTCATTGTACACAACCTTACGTTTCGCTATGGTAGTGCTCGCTTCAGAATCATATTGAAGACGCGTACGGCACGGTCTCTTCGATGTGACTTTCACTGCGCATCTATATTTCGATCTGTATTCAATTGTTACATCTACTTTCTATAAATTTTGGGTCCAGATTGAAAGTCAGATCGGGGATTCGGTTACAGCATCGGAATCATAAATATCCGATATCATTGTCCAAAACGGTAGTATACGAAAATATATACCACGTATTTCCAAAATCGTGCCGCATCAATCGTAGCCCGCAGACTGTCGCGCAATAAACAACTGATGATTTGGGCGTCGGCTTGCTCGTGCTTAACATGCATGTTGGGGACGCCGTTTCCTTCCTTTCACTGTCGTCGTCTTCCTCGGAGATTCCTGTATCCAACAGCGCCGGTTCTCGTATCGATCAATCATATCACCTGTTTTTGGTTTCTGGTGCGCGTTGCATGGTTTGTAGTATTTTCCTGAATATTGCTTACGTGATGTACACATGTTGGCTATAATCCGTTTCGGGTTCAATTCTTTTGGTTTCACTGCACCTCAACGCTGGGCGGATGCTCGCGATCCGACGGGAACCGAGCATGCATTCGAAAAAAAAGGGATGGAGAAAAGGAGGAGGAGGAGGAGGAGGGGGAGGAGCAAACGGACGAGAACGACAAGGAGGAGGTGGAGGAGGAGGACAGGCTTTTTCCACAATTCCAAGGTCGGTCATCGCAAGCGTCACTTCCACTGGCGTCTGCTGCGAATCTGCCAAATCGTGTAAGACGGCATGCGGTACTGCTGTTTGTAATGCGATGGTGTTCCGTTGTGCTCGGCTTTCCTTATAGGGCCTTCAATACGTCAAACTGTGCAAGTCAAGACCTCTTGGCCCTGTTACAATCAGCGCCCAAGGCATCGCAATAGGCCCAAAAAGGCGCCAGCATATATGTAATGTCTCTCATTTTTCGTTCGGACATGAAAGGGCGCGTTCGTGGCGCAGTTCAAGGGGCTCCTTGCGCAACGTGGGTTAAGGTGGTATTGACACACTAGCCGCACCCAACGCTCGACGCAAAGATCTCAAAGTGACCTCGCGACACTCCACTCAATGCCTGCGGCGCAATCGCGTATGTAGGTGTCATTTTGAAGATCTGCAGCCAACAACAAAGCACGGCTATCTACGACCATCGGTGTATCACGCTCGCAGACATGGCTTGGAACAAAAAACACGCCGAGACTGCATAAGCGGGGTACCAACACGCGAATACTCCAAATGCCAGCATCTTAAAGGTCCCGTCTGGCACGGACGCATCCAAAGCTGCATTCGACCACGCGAAAACGGAAGAGATGGTGCAACAACTCAACCGATTGCGCAAACTCTTTTTCCCACATCCTAAAAGGGAGTCTTATTTTCTCTGGAACACCATGCACTTAAGGTATCATGAGAAATCTTGGGATCTTGGGATTTGGGAAGTCTTGAAATACATTGCGGTGCAATTCGTGCGATTTCAATTATAATGGCCGAGGTGTCGAACCGTAAGTGCCCAGGCGCATCGCAAAAGCTTTTGCCAAGTTTCATTGAGACCCTGAAGGGGTGCCATTCGTTCCAGAAGCGCTCTGGAGGCTCTTCTCTGAATCAAGACAATATCAAAGCGACCCAGAAACATCGCAACCACTTCGGCCCGATCACAACTGGTTGCGATCGGCCCCAAGTGGCCGACGATCGGCCCGAAGTGGTTGCGATCGGCTCCAGTCGCGGGGGGGGTGCAACGAAGGAGGGGGAGTGCCATGGGGCGGCGGTGACGGGAACGGAGCCGCCGGTCCAACGGACGGGCCTTCGAACGGAGCCGCCAGTCCAACGGACGGGCCTTCGGACGGGGCGGCGACGGGCAGAAACGGGGCCGCCAGGACAACAGACGCACAAAGGCCTATAGAAAGCAAATAGGAGAACCGGAATGCGAACACTGTTTGGGGAATGTGGGTCGGCCTCATTGTACCAGAGACCTCTCCGGAATCATGCACGCTGAACGAAATACCCCCGACCGCAGCGCAGAGAATTGAAATCATGTGCACCGGAGTGTGTGGTGACAGAGCCTGGTGTGTACACTGAGAAAGTTGGCAAACAGGGAGCTCAAGTGCAAGGCGCAGGATGCCATGAAACACTGCTTTTCTCCAGGCAGACGCACGCTGACCAGCACCACGAGCAACTACAGCGTCCACACGTCGTCCCATCCTGTCCTCCTCTCTTGCATTCCCCCCTCACCCCAAATGTGTCTCGCCACCATGCACCTGTATCCAATTGGGAACGCTTACTTGCACCACCATCAGACAAGTGTTTTCTGCTGCCCCATGCTGAGTGCGTGTCAAGCTCTGACTGCGGCCCTCTTCGAACGGCCATCCTGCCCAGTGGTTCGTCATGTACGCCCCAAGCTGCTACCATGGCAATGGAATGCCACACACAAATGGATTCAGTTGCATCCGAGAGTAGTCTGTTCGCCGATGGCTCTGGCCAAACATTTGCACTCGCGTGTCGCCTGGATCACCTTACTCCTCATCCTCATCCTCATCCTCATCCGCATCTCCTCCCTCCCTCTCTTCCTCCTTCCCGCGCTCCTCCCCCCTCCGCTCCTCTCCCCTCCATGCCCCGATTCATTCTTCACAACACTCCTGTGTTGGGCTCTCGTTTTGAATTGGGCGCTGCTCGCGCGTCTCCTCCACCTCCTCCTCCTCTTCCTCCTCCTCCTCCTCCTCCTCTTCCTCTTCCTCATCCCTTCCTCCTCTTGCGTTATGCCTCCTGCCTGCATGCCTACAATTTCCTACTTGCCACATACCATACTTCGCGGTTCCGTTTGGGAGCTGTCAGCTAGGCAACTGTCGCTACTCTCGTGCTCTTGGGAGGTCCAGCGCAGCGGAGTGCAAATGACCCCAAAACACTTGACGCACGTGCTCCAGACTCAAGGATGGGCACACACTTTGTCGGGTGATAGGGCACACCGTGTTGAAACTCCTCGCCCAGGGGCGTCGGGCTTCCGCACAGGGACTAATGACAACACCGCTCCGACCAGTTCCTGCAGGAGCGGCCAACGACTTGCCTGAATTCGCCAAAGGCTTGAGCCTCGGCAAAACATGCGTACACGCTTTCCGCATTCCCAGACGTCCGACGATGCGTTTTTTTCAGTCCGCGACCCTGTCCCGGGAGGTCGTTCCTCGGCCTGTACCAACTTTCCACGGCACGGGGGCCCAGACACGGGCCTCGGTGTCCGAAGTCGAGGAGAAGCGCCGGGATGGACAACACCATGCTTCGGAGGTCTGGGTTCTGAGCACTTCTCCTCACTCAAGCCTGCTGCGCGCGCCTACTCACCCGCCCTACGGGTCCACGGCGTGCTGCTGGCAATGGTGGCCGGTGGGCGTGTCGGCCACCTGGAGCCGGGGGGGCAAGAGGGCATGCGGCGAAGCTGTGGCGCTGCTGCGAAGCCGCTGCGCTCTGGAGTCCACTGGGTTCAACAAGCCACTACGCCTTGGAGTCCTGTGGCTGCCTGCACACGCCGCCGAAGCCAACGTTTCTGGGCTGCCCGCCTGCGCCTTAGAGTCCAAATTCCCCACGCTCGGACTGGCTCCGCCTGATCTGGCAGGGAAAAAATAATGTGTGCCCAAAATTCGCCCTCCCTAAAACGCCCCTTTTAACAAACGACTCCGTGTTGAGCCTCTGAGCCCACCATCCATGCATCGCCTGGGTGTGAAAGACAAACACGGCTTTGCTTTGCGTCCCTGGCCCACGGGCTGGGTGAAACTCCAAGCTGGCCAGGCACAGTGCTGTCACTGGGGCATGCACCATTGGATGAGGGTAGCCAGCATACGAGCGAACATGCCCATGCCTAAACCTCACAGGCGTATTTATGTACTGAGTTCGGCAACGCGGCACTGCGTAATTTGTGCGCGCGCGCGCGTGTGTGTGTGTGTGTGTGTGTGTGTGTCAGTGTGCCTCGGCCCGCTGTCCTTCTTGGGCTCTAGCCCGACTCCGCTGCTCTGCTCCGCGCGTGGCCGCGACTTCAAAAGTGTGTAAGTGTGTGTGTGTGTGTGTGTATCCTTTTGTGTGTGTGCACGTATGTATATTGCGTACAAGTGCACGGCATTGTGTGTGCCCGTGTATGTAAATACGCATCCATGTCTACATATGTACACCTGTGTAGATGCAGAGATGTGTATTCTGTAGGCTCACACTCTTTCGGACCCCCTGCCAACGGTGTAGTGTCTAGTGAAATCTTAGACCCTCTTCTCAACACCTTGCTGTCCATGCGAAGCCATACCCCCTCTCCTGCAGCAGAAGCCTGGGACACGTATATGACCGAATCTCCTGAGGTCGCTCCAAGACGGCCTAATAGGCTCCCAAGAGGCCCCCGATAGCGCAAGAGGGCCCCTAGACTGGCCCAACAACAGTATGAGCCAATCCCTGACACTTTGTTTTCTCGTGCGCCCAGTCTGACTGCGTCGAAAAGCCAATAGCAGGCTGTGAACGTCACTCTGGTCTATAATGTCCAGCAGCAAGCTCTCAGCAACGGTCTATCAAGGAGGCTGTGAACGTCACGTTGGTTTATAATGTCCAGCAGCAAGCTCTCAGCAACGGGCTAGCAAACCATTGCCCACTGCGCTCGGGAACACGGCTGTTTTAATCCTCGCCCGGCTTGGTCAATTGAGAAGTGTGGTCGCTGCCGTGCGATGGAAGCTGGCCTCCACCCCAAATAAATCAATGCGACTCCTTCCTCCTCCGCCACCCAATCCGCGAATGTTGTATTCATGTTGTAATTGGGTGTAGGGCGGGAGTCCATCTGACCCCACGACCAGGGGCTTCCATTACGTGATCAGGGTGGGCTAGTTGTGAAGAAAACAACGTGGTAATGTCCGCTGGCTGTCAGTTTCGCATGGCGGAGAAAAGTAACGACACATCGCAAGAAGGATCGACAGGCGAGCTTATGCACCGCCTGGCACTGATCATATTGATCAACAGCCAATCGATCTTCCGATACCTCACTGGCATTGGCATGCCTTCGTGTATTGAAGCGTATGGCCTCATCCTCCACCTCCTCTCTCTCCTCCTCAACCTCCCTCTTCCTCCTCCTCCTCCTCCTCCTCCTCCTTCCTCCCCCCCCCGCCTGGGTTCCGAGGCCAGGGACATTTCAGGTCTCGGCCGCCATCGCATCGCTGCAAAGATTATTCGCGATATCACTGCGTAGAGGTACCAAAGGAAGGCCACTATCAAGATTCCCGCCTATCAATCCCAAGCCTCCGATGTATTGATCTTTCCACACGAACGTCCTGGCACTCTCGACCTATTGCTCCGGGACCTTAGTTTCTAGCCCCAGATCGTGTCTTGCCGTCCCGCGGCAAGAAGAAAGCGGCCCACTGAGGCCGAACGACATCAAGCATTCGAGTCAGTGCTTTTGCTTCGAGACGTTGAGGTCTGGGAGCTCCTGCAAAGCGTGACGCGCTCGACCACGGAGGCCCTTTTGGCGGCGCGCAGGAGGGGGTAGGGGGAGGGGGGAAGGCTTCTTAGAAGGAGGCTGCTTATTAGAAGGCGCCGGCCTTATATCTACAAAGAAGGCCCGCGGAGGAGGAGGAGGAGGAGGAGGAGGAGGAGGAGGAGGAGGAGGAGGAGGAGGAGGAGGAGGAGGAGGAGGAGGAGGAGGGGGAGGAGGGAGGGGGACCGACCTGCCTTCGGGCAACCTCGCGCCTGTCAACGGCGGTCTCTGGTGGAGGCCGCGGGTCTGTGGCGGCCTCCGCGCGTGTCTGGCGCGAGCGCTGGACACGCAGGCTTCACAGTAGGATCCATGGCTGGACGCCAAGCGAGAGGAGGAGGGGAAGGAGGAGGAGGAGGAGGAGGAGGAGGAGGAGGAGGAGGAGGAGGAGGAGGAGGAGGAGGATCTGCATATGTTGTCAGGAGCATCTGCTCAGCGTGAGGCGCCTGCGGCCTCTGCGACACGCCATGCCCTGTAAGCTGACATAGCGTGCCGTCCCGCCTCGTGGAGCGGGAGGTCGGGAGAGGCTCGGGCGTGGATGCCTGGGGACTGGGACGTTTTGAGCCTGAGGCGCCGAAGCATGATCTGGACGTCCTCTTTTGGAGGCCTCTTGGTGGGTCCGTATCGGGGGGCCCTTGCGCCGCCTCGAGGCCGTCTTGGACCGTCTCGGGGCCGTCTTGGGCTCCCGAGGAGGCGAGTCGTGGACCGTCCCGGGGCCGTCCTGGGCGAGCCCGCCACGAGGGCAGGACAGGGAGAGCGGCACCCGAGAGAGGGACGTGGAGGGCACCCAGAGGACCCCAGAGGAGGGGGAGGAGGAGGAGGAGGAGGAGGAGGAGGAGGAGGAGGAGGAGGAGGAGGAGGAGGAGGAGGAGGAGGAGGAGGAGGAGGAGGAGACGAGCGTAGGGGGCGACAGTCTGTTCAACTCCAGACTCAAAGATTTCCGCAGCCCGAGGGGGCAGATCAGAGAAGGCGTCAGCCTATAAGAATAAGAGCGGTACACGGGAGCTTCACCGACCCCACCAGCACAGAGAGGCCGACGAGCGGGGAAAGGAAGCCATCGTTCACAGCATCCATGTCAATCTTGAAGCCCGTCACGGCGACCAATGTGTAGTCCTGACGTTGCCTTCGCTGTCCTGCCAGGTCTCGTCAAAACTTCCATCACCGTCATCATCATCGTCAGAAACGCCGCAATCATGAACAGGGGGCCGAAGGCGGGCCGCCTGACCAGAGGGCACGCCACGATCCAGTGCAGCCACCGCACACTTCACTTTGGTAGCGAAGGCAGCAGAATCAGCAAATAAGATAACAGACTTCGTGGCAGCTTCAACGATCGTATCCGTGTTCTTCTCAATCATCGTGCCTATCAGAGCACTCATCTGATGCAGTGCGGTCTCATGGGTGGCAACCTGTTCTTGGACAGAAGCTGCCAGGGCCGCCTGCGCAGGCAGAGAGCGGAGCTGCGCAATGTCGTCTTGGATTGCAGCCACGAGCTGGGCGAGACGGGAAACCCCTTTCTCGTCGAGCGACTCTGTGATGAGCATGCGGGCGTCGGCAAGAGTGCCACCCCGAACCGCGGTCATGAACTCGCAGACCTCGTCCCTCGAGTGGTTGACCAACTCTTGGCAGTCAGTCCAGAGACGGTCCAAGGGCTTAGCCAACGACTTCAAGAGCGCAGCCTCGCACGGGACAGAAACTTTCGCGATTTCCTCATCTATGTATGCACGAGCAGCAGTCATATTCTGAGAAACCGTATCTGTGATCTTGGCCGTGTGGCAACGGAACAGACCGCGCATTGATTCCAGTTTAACGTTCAACTCAGAAACCGAAGGAGCCTCAAAAACAAATTGCTGCAGCTGCACCAGCTTTTGAAGAACTGTCTGATAGTTGTCTTCCACGAAAGAAGAGACGGCACGTTGCCCAGCACTGAGGTCCTCCACCTCTCTTTGCACTTCATCACGAAAGGTGGACAACTTCTCGGTGAGCACATTCTCTAGGTCGTGGAGCTTGGCCTCAAGAGGCGCCCCGTCTCCAGCCACGGCGGCCGCGGGAAGTAGCTCGTGCACCAAAATGGATGCCTTGAGCAACTCGAACTGTTTCTCGCTCTTGTGTTCCACTGCAAACATCATGTCGCGACTCTCAGCCGCGAGCTGCTGAGCCGCGGCCGCGGCGGCACCAGCGTCGGCAATGGAGTGCCACATGTGCATGAGCTGCATGTTAATGGCATCAAGAAAGAACTCGGCGCCAGAGGCCGCATTGCCCTCCAACGAGCCAGGGAGCGGCACAAACTCGGCAGCAGCAGCACGTAGGCGAGGTGCGCCACTCTTGGCGGCGGTGCCCGTAGATCCCGAAGAGGTAGCAGAAGCAGGGTGCCGCGTGGGCCAGTGATGCTTGGCACGATTCGCCGTCCTGTGGATCACCAGCGCAGCCTGGCGATCAGCGTCAGAGATGTCCGCATGTAGAGCAGCATCGCGTGCGAAGTGGACGGGTGTGCCGAGCAGGGTGTTGTGCGCATCGTGCAGCGCCAGCGACTGCGCCATCTTAGCGACTCGCCCGACATGTGACGCCTGAACAGGTATCAGCACCGACGACGTCTTGCCGATGAGGTAGCCGTTCTCAGCAGCGCGGAGGCGGCGATGTTGAGCGGCCACCTGAGAACGGCGATGAACCATCCCGGAACAGAGCACGACGGGGAAAGGAGAAGAGCAGCACGCGAGGCGCCGGCGCAACCAAATCGCAGCACGCCATCCCAAGCCTGGTTGAGCCAAGATGGTGGGGCGCGCGACGCGGCAAGAGCCAAAATGGCTACGGAGGAGGAGGAGGAGGAGGAGGAGGAGGAGGGGGAGGAGGAGGAGGAGGAGGAGGAGGAGGAGGAGGAGGAGGAGGAGGAGGAGGAGGGGGAGGAGGGACCTCTCGGCGATCCTGGAACCTCTTGACGGGGGCCGAAGAGCCGTCGGCACGGCGCGCCAAGCGGACGCTCGTGCGGCCGCCTGCATGCTCGGAGCGGGCCGCCGCCCTGGCGACGAGCACGCCGACAGCGCCGGCGTCGAGTGGTGCACGGAGGCGTCGAGCTCGGCAGCGCTGCGCGGGCTGTGCGCGTCCTGGGAGCGCACGGCCCCGCTGCCGCGAGGGAGGGGTCAGGATCAGGATCAGGGCTCCGAAAGGACCTGCTGTTTTGGCCAGCTGCCAGCATGAAACCAGGCTTGGAGGAAAACCCCTGGAAAGGGCGCTGAGGCTCGGCGCAGGGGTGCCTCCCAGGGCTTGCACCGAAGGCTAGCGTCCTGCGCCCCAGGGATCGTCAGGGGAACGCATTACCCAGGACCCGCGAGGGAGGGGCGAGGGGGGAGGAGGGAACGAACGAAAGAGCGAGCGGCGCGTGCCTCTGGATACGGAGGTGCGTAAGGCGGGGGGAGGGGGGATGGGGCGAGGGTAGAGGACGGGGCGGCAGGAGGAGCCAGGGGATCGGGCCGGACGACGAGGGGGGCGGGGGGGCGGTCCAGAGGGGGGTTGGCGAATGGGTGGGGAGAGAGGCGAGAGGCAAAAGCCATACGCCCTAGGGCGCGTCGGCGGCAAAGACAGCACTCATGCGGGGGAAGGGGGAGGAAGAACGAGAGAAGCAGCAGAAGCGGAAGGGAGGGAAGGAAGGGTAGGAGGAGGAGGAGGAGGAGGAGGAGGAGGAGGAGGAGGAGGAGGAGGAGGAGGAGGAGGAGGAGGGGGAGGAGGAGGAGGAGGAGGAGGAGGAGGAGGCGGAGGAGGAGGAGGAGGGGGAGATGCGTGCCGCGGCCGTGGAGCGTCGGCCACCCGACCCCGCCGTTCCAGGCGCGCGGGCCGAGGGGAGGCGCGGCGCCGGCGCGGCGGCGGGAGCAGGATGCGGGCGGTGGTGGTAATCACGGCCAGACTGGTGCGGAGAGAGGGGGCGATGAGGACGAGGATGAGGATGACGATGATGATGATGCTGCTGATAAGGATGCTGCTGATGTTGATGCTGATCCTGACGATGATGCTGATGATGACGATGGTGATGATGATGCTGATGATGGAGATCATGAGGATGATGTTGATGATGATCATGATGATGGCAGTGATGCTGCTGATGATGATGACGATGATGTTAATCATGATGATGACGATGATGAGGATACTGGCAATGATGATGGTGGTGATGATGATGGTGGTGGTTGCGATGATAGTACTGATAATGTTGAGGGTACTAGTGATGGTGTTGATGATGACGAAGCTGATGAGGATGCTGCTGTTGATTATGAGGTTGGTGATGATGCTGATGCTGTTGGTTGTGCTGGTGATGATGTTGCTGCTGATGATTGGGGTGATGCTGATGATGTTGATGGTGACGCCGACGACGATGTCTCAACGCTAGAATTACGCAAATATGAAAGCCCCATCCCTGAGGGACTTACGGATGAGGCGAAGGCATTGGGAGACAGAGTCTGGTAGGGAACACCACTCGGGCCAGTGACGATCCCTATCAAATTGATCCACACGCGCTGATAGTTTAGCAATTAAGAAGAAGCCTTGGTACAGTTCTCGGTGGATGCCCCGTCGCACCAAGTCGGCGAGGAGGCGAAGGAGCAGTATGAGAAAGACGAACAAGAGGAACAATCCATGATCAGGACTCGAGCCTCCACGTGTTGTCACACTCGTCGTGAAGATCACAGTGGTCGGCCTGAATATGTCGCTCCCCTCCTCTCATTCTTGCTCCCGCCTCAATGCCACGCCCCCCTTCCCTCCCTCCCTCGCTCCCTCCCTCCCTCATACATCCTCCTTCCTCCTACTCCCTCCTCTCTCCTCCTTCCTCCCTCTTCCCTCGTCCGCTTCCTCCCTCATTCATTATCCTTTTTTCGCCTTCTTCCCCTGTCCTTCTTCCTCCCGCTTCCCTCCTCCTCCTCCTCCTCCTCCTCCTCTTCCTTTTCCTCCTCCTCCTCTTCCCAATTTTTTGGCCAGCAGCAGGGCGCCGTGGCTGTCGTCGAAAGCCTCTTTTTGGCTTTGGCTCCCCTCTTCTCTCGCAAAGCTGGCTTTGGGGAGGAGGAGGAGGAGGACGATGAGGATGAGGATGAGGAGGACGAGAACGAGGACGAGGACAAGGAGGAGGAGGAGGAGGAGGAGGAGGAGGAGGAACAAGTGGACGGCGCGCCCTCGTGAAAGAACCGCCCCTGGCGCCGATCGTCGCCCTGTTGCAGAGAGGCATCCCCGTCCTCCGCTCTGGCGTGGATTTTTCTCTTGTCCTCCGACGTGGAGTCGGGCGGGTGGTAATGGGGGGTGACTCAAATGGGGGGCGAAGTGAAGTGCCGTAAATGGGGCCTTTTAGGGCCCCCCCGCCCGACCGACGCAGTAGTGAAGCAAACTCCGGCGCAGCGAGGACTGATGGCTACCTCGTTTGCTGGCATTCTTAGACAAACGCGTTCCACTACTTGCAAGGTAACTAATCGCAAGTGGCCTGAATCCACCGCGTGGGATTTACGATCAGTTATGTAGAGGAAGACCTTTTTGTTGTTGTTGTTGCTGCTGCTGCTGCTGTTGTTGTTGTTGTTGTTGTTGTTGTTGTTGTTGTTGTTGTTGTTGATGTTATGTCTGGACGTTTGTGAGGAGGCACTTTACGAGTAGCGGAGCGCGCTCGGTGAGCTCTGACGCGGCAACGGGCAGAGAAAACCGGATGCCGGAGGGCGCGCGCGTGCGCCTGGAAGAAGCGAGACGAGGGCCCCACGCGTTACCTTCTTGCGCGAAGCCGTGGCGGTCACGGGCAAATCGGCGCCCGACTGGGACACAGTGCGCTGTGCGGAGACCTGCTCGCCGATCAGCGCGGCCCATGGGCTGCCAGCTTCCAGGGAAGCTCACGAAGGTAATTCTGACGGCAACTCCTTTCTTACCGACCTGCGGGCCCCTCCGTCCGCGTCGCGTGCGCACAAGAGTCCGGCTCCCGAGCACTGAACAGACCGTATACAGTCGGGGCCTTGACCTAAGGAACCCAAAATAAGGAACGAGGCCCCTTTTTCCCATGAGATAAACTTCGATTTCCCATCGAAGCCCCCAAGGAAAACCCAAGGCGAACTGCAAAACAACTAAGGAACATCGAGCCCCTCCCCAACGAAAAGGGTTCCTTCCTCAGCGCCCCGACTGTATGCAATGCCCCACCGCTTCGCCCGATCCGACTCCCAGTCGTCCTCAGTGCCCCATGGGCGCAGGGACAACGCAAGTCGCATCGGGCATCCCCATCGCCGAGGCCCAAGTCAGCGCCGAGGCCAAGGCCCAACAAGAGGAGCGGCCCAAACGACCCGTCTCTCGCCAGCACTCGCGCTCGGCCGGCGCGGCCCCCGAGACCGGCTCCTCCTTCCCGCGCCAGGCGGCGAGAGGAGGGTAGTCAACCAGCCCGCGCCCGAGGCAACCCTCCAGAGCGCCATGCGCCATGCAGGAGAGGCGACTGGCCCAAGACCACGTTTCGTGGCCCCATGGGGAGCTCCACCCAAGGCCACGGCGGCAAGTCCGCATGTCTGCCCCGCACCCTCGGCACACCCGTCTCACGCTTCGTGGCCCCATAGGGAGCTAGCTCTACCGAAGGCCCCAACGGCAGGGTCTGCATGGCGGCCCAGCGCCCATTTCTGCACACTTTTTTCACGATTCGCGGCTCCATAGCGAAATCCACCGAAGGCCCTAACGGCCGGGTCCGCATGGCGGCCCGAACCGATTTCGGCACACCCCCTACACGCTGGGGAGCTCCACCGAAGGCCCCAGCAGCAGGGTCCGCATGGCGGTCACGCACTCGATTCGGGGCCCCAAGTGAGCGACCGAAGGCCCCAGCGGCAGTGGCGGCCCCGCACTCGATTCGCAAAACCGCTCACATGTTTCGCAGTCCCTGAAGGAGATCCACCGAAACCCGCAGCGGTAAGGTTCGCTTGGCGGCCCTGCCCCATGTCGGCACACTCCTCATACGTTTCATGGCCCTGCAAGGAATTCAACATACGGCCCTAACGGCAGGGTCCGCATGGCGGCCCGCACCCGAATCGGCACACCCCTCACACATTTCGCGGCCCCATGAGGAGCTCCACCGAAAGCCCCAGCGGCCGCCCACTTGGGCACATCCCTCACACGCTCCGTGGTTTCATAAGGACCTCCACCGAAGGCCCCAGCGGCACGGCCCGCATGGCGGCCTCGCAACGATTTCGGCACACCCCTCACGCGCTTCGTGGCCCCATCGGGAGCTCCACTGGAGGCTCTCGCGGCAGGGTCCGCACGGCGGCCCCGCACGTGATTAAGCACACCCCTCACACGTCTCGTGGCCCCGTCAGGAGCTCCACCGAAAGCTCAAATGGCAAGGTCCGCATGGCGGCCCCGTTCTGATTTCGGCACGCCCCTCAAGCGTTGCGACTCCCCTATACGGACCTGCCCCTTCTTCGTCCCACCTGCCTTGCGGCAACCGCACCCGCATATGCTTCGGTCTTCCGCCCGGATGTATTCCCGGGGGCTCATTGAACGTAAACGATTGCGGCGCCACGCGGTACTCGGCAAATAATGTTTCAGCCGCTGCCTCCGCCGTCGTCGCCGCCGCCGTCTCCGTCGTCGTCGTCGTCGTCGTCGTCGTCGTCGTCAACGACGTCGTCGTACGAGTAATCTTACTACTACGAATGCCGCATCCACGACATCTACACTACTACTACTACTACTACTACTACTACTACTACTACTACTACTACTACTACTACTACTACTACTACTACTACTACTACTATTACTACTACTACTACTACTACTACTACTACTACTACTACTACTACTACTACTACTACTACTACTA